TCTTTTGGTGTTAAACCTCTATGGATCTTGAGAGACTGTTCTTTTGACATCTCACTGTCTATGCACAAGAAGGAAGATACTCCAAATTACATCTTCAGGAATCTAATAGCTGAAAAACCCAAGTATTGGAGGGTACTGCTTGCAATCTTTTATACACAGACGGCTCAAAATCTTCTGGTCTGCCTCCTGCTTGTGCCGTGGTAGATGCTACAGGACAGATTCTTCTCAATTACAGATTTCACGAAAGTACTTACACTTTCACAACCGAAACCAGAGCTATCGTTCACGCTGCGAACATTGCCCTTAAAAACAAACTCAAAAGCGTCATTGTTACTGATAGGTTGTCTGTATTACAAGCTATTCGGAATCCTTCGACTTCGAGATGGAGCACCATCAACAAATTAAGGAATATAATTCCTGCACCCGACGGAAAAATTAAAATGTTATGGGTACCAAGTCACATCGGTTTACTGCTGCTTCTGCTCCTCTAATTATGGATGATGTCATGGAAAAGTTGGATCTTCAAAGATACATTGGAAGAAAAGTTAAAGAGAAAATTGCAGAAGGATATTTACAATACCATCATCAACACTACTCTTGCATTAACCCTCAATTAACTCCACCTCTATATCCAGTAAATGTTGAGAAAACCAAGATCCAAACATTCTCGAGAATTCGCCTTGGTCATACAATTGCAACTCACCGATGGACTCTGAAGAAGCCTTCTTCCCCAATCTGCTGTTGTGGACAAACTCTTACTATAAAGCACATTCTCTGCGAGTGCCACAACTTTTCGTTGGCTAGAAGTATTGCATTTGGAACGATTAACCCTTTGAACATTCTACAATCAGCTTCAGAACAGAATATCAATTCTATACATTACTTTATTAATACTACTAAGCTCATTATCTAATGTACATTTTATTATTATTTTTTTTTTTTTAATTAGAGCCGATAGCCTGTGTTGCTAGTGTTCAATGTCTTTTTTTTTAGTCTAAGAATTCATTTCATTAGTCTAAAATTAAAATAATAATAATAAAATAAAAAAAAAAAAAAATTGTTTAATATTTAGGAAATATAACTCAAAATAAATGTCAATTATTGTTTCGACCTCTTAGAGATACCACTCCCAAACCGGTGTGTAGAGGAATGCTCCTTTAACGTTTTATTGATTCTTTCGTGTTTTACACTCCTTCTTTTATAAGAAACCCTTCCCTTTTTAAAAATGTACGTAAACATTGGTTGTCGGTTTTTTTTTATAAAAAAAATTAAAAAACTCTTATATTGTTCCCTTGTTTAACATAAATAGCTATCTTTTGTTTAATTTCAATTAATCTCTTTTTATTTAAAGGTCTATCGTACAACACCCGCAGCCGATCAACAATTTAGCTAAATCAGTTTACACCTTTCTTTTTTTAAAAGGTTTCTCCTTCTCATTTGCATTAATGAACTGCACATTCATCCTCCAATTTTTAATGGCCACAACCTAGCGATCGTTGATTCCAGCCCTCTGACGCGAACGTTAGTACTTCTTGATTTTCGTTCTTTTTCTTTTTGCACTTTTGTATGACTTCAAAATTGCTTGACCTTAATGACCTTGTGCTTTCGTATGTGAACAATGAATAGCGTTCCAATTATTCCGGCTTTACTAAAATTATCAAAACCTTTTCAATTTGCAATTTTTTCCATATTTTTTCCAATAAAACTATTCGGGATTTATTCTTTCTCTAATTCTTATAAATTCACTTTCATTATCATTCACTGAAATTATTTGTCTTGAAGTAGCGATAGACGGCATGAATTTCAATTTTATTCCAAAAAAATTTACAAGCAAAATTCTCATGAAAGCCGCATTTTTTCCTCGTTTTTTTTCCCCCTCCCTTTTTTTCTTTCAAAGTTGACAAAGTTTCTTTGTTTTTCGCGCCGCTTGTCGCTTTGCCAAAGTTGCCAAAGTTTGCCTTTTCTTTTTTTTTCCCCACTACAGTGTCCAATACACCTTGAACGTGCCGGAATGCTTTAGTATAATTTGATATATGCTTTTGTAGTGTAACTACATATCTTTTATCGGTCGAAGTGTGTCAAAATAACAGTATTGCAATGTAGAACCATCTTGCGTGATTTTACGTTATTTTTCAACTCCTGTAGACATAAAGTTCGTACCACTGAATTGTGATTTTTAAAATAGTTCTATTCACAAAATTAGAAAATCTATAAAAAAATTATGTATAAAAATTTATATTTGCAACGTCATTCCAGCTCTGGTCTTGTGCTGTTATGAATAAGTTAAGAACATGGAGAATGTAAGATAGTAAGGATCGCCATCTTATAAGTAAGGAAGGACCGCCCTGTTATGGGCATATAGAAGTGATTAAAGACATTGGTGATATAGGATGTTCATGTTAGAGATGAAACGAATCCTCGGTTTCGCGAGTTATCGCGATGTACTTGGATTTAGTTGAACTGACAGAAGTTCCCAAGTTAATTGAATGAGCAGCAATTTTCCTTGATTGAATGAGTTACTACATTGAATGTTACTACTATATTCTCTTGAATAGGTAAAAGATGTAACTTATATATTAAAATATCTTTAAAGGTAATGCTACCTGGCTGCTATAGAAAAATAATGGTAATTACCCAAAAAACAACCAAATTTATTTATAAAAAAATGTTCACATGAAAATACCTCAAATAAAAACGGACAAGCACAGAAAAGTCAAAATTGAAAATTTTGATGATTGTGGGTATTATATATCTTTCGCGTATCCGTTATTATGTTGATACTTGTTCGACGCTGCTCATGGGTTAAGCTTACTGCAACTTAACTACATTTTTTATACATATAAAATGTTGCTGAGATTAGTATATCTTTGGGATGCGACTTGTGCTTATAGCGCAAGGATATCTTGGGATAGAAACTGCTCTAAATTTATAAATTCCAAACGCAAAGTATGAGGATTTCCCTCTGCTATGGGCTGGATAATGTCGAGTCTTTTTCAGGAGACCGTCAATGGAGAGATACACCAGCTGCTCCGAAACGGGTTCTTTGAACCATCGGATAGTCCGTACAGCGCACACGTAGTGCTAGTACCGAAAAGAAATGGAGGAGAATGGAGGCTCTGTATTGATTGTCACATACTAAATCGTAGATCAATACCGGATGTCTATTCGTTATCCAGCATCAAACGCATTCTCGATAGATTTCGCAAATGTAAAAAAATGTATCAGCACCACCGACTTCAAAAAATGGATATTGGCAGGGCCTCGTGGACCCGTAGTACGGCTTTCACCGTACCGGGGCGTGGTTTATTCCAATGGCCTGTTATGCCCATCGGGTTGCGCTGGGTGCCTGCAACCTTCCAAAGAGCTTAAGACAGAGCCTCCGAATTAGAACCTTTTGTCTTTGCATATCTCGACGACATTATCGTAATCAGTGAGACTGTCCTGGAACAAAGCCAGTATCTCAAGCAGGTATTTCAATGGCTACGAAGATCAAGATATATATCACTTTTCCAAAATATAATTAAAGTACCTAAAACATCTAGCGACGGAAGACGGAATTAGCACCGACCCTGATAAAGTAGCAGCGATAAAAACATTAGGCCTCCAAACAATATCAGAGAATAGAGACGCTGCCTAGGAACAGCCTCATGGTTTCGGAAATTTATCGCAGACTATACAGATATTACAAACCCATTAAACTCCGTTGAACAAGAGAAGCCGATGGAACTGGGGCTTAGAGGAGCAGAAATTTGACAGTGAAGAAGACAGAAGAAGAAGTCATCAATTTAATGAACAATTTATAGTACAAACCGGTAAACGTGGACTTGGACTTGGGGGCTGTCTTGAATCAAATTCAAAATGGAACAGAGCTATTAATAGCAGAGGCCAATTACTCCGCGACGGAGAAAGGGTGTCGTGCCATTGTCTGGGCAATCCGCAGATTGAGACCATATCTAGAAAGGTATTGTAAGGAAGCGTTTTGCTTCCTTACCGATAAACAAATCCGTCCGTAAACAAAACAGTCTGTCTGGTTTGTCCCTCCGCGCTAAAGAATAAATATCCCTAGATTTACCATTCTTTTACTTCTCTTCTGTGGCAATCTAGGTTCATATATAAAGAAAAAAAAGCAAAAACATAAAAAGAACAAATATGTTTGGTTTAAATATACATATTTTATTTTACTCGTATTTTGTTTTGTTTGTATTTGTTTTAATACTTTCATTTGATATTTTACTCTTGAATGGCACATTCATGTTTGGTTGAATGTGAATAACATTGTTTATGCGCTTGCATTTGCATATTTATATTTATGTGTTGGTCTGTTTTAGCATAACGGACCATAGACAACGATATCGCAGATTACATAATCCAGACCTTGAAGTGTGTCGTCGTTGTTTATATTAATTTGCTTATGTTGCATTTTTGTGACACACTTCAAGCTGTTCATATTTCCGAAGTAAATAAACGCAAAAATGCAAGTGCGTCATTTTATGATTTTATATTGTAGCATAATAATTCTGAGTTAGTGTATAAGAATTGTAATTGATAATCTACCTTTTTAACAATAAAATTCGTCTTTGTGAAACACATCGATCGCTCCCTTTTTGTTATCTTAGCGTTTCTTATAGTTCCAAGTGCTAGAAGAAACAAATCAATAAGTTGGTAAGACCGGACGTAGCGTTTGGTCGAATCATACCAACCAATTAGGAAATTGACTATTTTGTCGTTTAGATACACCGAACAAAACAAACAAAACATTTTGGTGACTCTGACGTGGTTTGAACACGTCCTATATGTTTGTTAGTGTCCAAGCTAGTAAATACATTGAAAATACTCCTCGACATTCTGGTGACCCCGACGTGATACTAGCGTATTGCGTTTGTGTCACAACAAAATATATATAGAAAAAAAAGAAAACGCATGTAGCACATTTTGTACGTACATTTCGCTTATTCTTTTCTAAGTTTCGAAATCACGTGTATATAAAAATCCATTTACAATTACATAGCTATGCCTAGCAACAATATATCCATAAGAAATATACATTTAAGTACAACTAGACTATTACATATCATAACACCGTTAATAGAGAAAGACTTAGCTGCATCCATTGACTAACTTTCATTATGATCTATGGATTTCATTCACCATTTAAAGTTACTATTTTTATATACTCTACACCACTTGCAATACAAGGATATATTAAGATTGTACGGATGTAAGCAACAACTAAAACGACTTTATATAGACCCATCTTGTATCATACCGATCTAAACTTGTCTGTCTGCTTGTTGCCGTTCTCTCTTGTTCAACCTATAGGCAGCGACATTTGAGTCATTTTGATAAAACTTGGTACACTAATAAGTTTCGAAAATGCTTTGCATAATAAAAATTCTTAGCTTGCAGACGTCATTGAATTCTTTGATTACGTGGTCCATTAATCACATTTTGGAAAATGATTGCAGTATTATGATTACGGATGACCAAAATGCGATAAGACGCGACGTCGACCATTCATTTATATTTATGGGGAAACGAGCCCAAATCTTAATATAATTGGTGGTTCATTTTCCATCGTTTAAGACTATAAAACGAGTAACCAAAGAGTAGCATTACTTCTTAATGTGTTAGATTTTGAGAGTATGAACACTTTCGAATGATGGCCACGATCGAGAAAGTTTATTGTCGGAAAAGAACAACGGTAGACAAGAAAATTTAAAAAGCTAGTTTGGTAAATAATTTCTTATATTTTCCTGAATTGCAAAAAATTATATCCGTATATTCAAACTTTTTATATTTATTTCAAATTTCTATAGATTGAATCAAAATGGTCATCACACGCTCAAAATAGCGCACAATCATCAGCCTCGATTAGTGACTTTTTCAAGAATACAATGAATACACAAAATAAACCTGATCTGCCATTCACTCTGGCTCAAAATAAAATGGTAAATTATCGCAAATCCCTTCGATGTAGGAGTTGGAGTCTGAATGACGTCGAAACTGTACAACTCATACTAGTCCTAACAAGGGTAACGGTATTAATAACGATGCGAAGGAACGAGATACGGTAATCATTCGGGTATCTACAAGCAAACTTTTATTTGCAATGGCGGAAATCTCGCAAATTTGCTTTTTAGACAGTCGTATCAACAAAAACCAAGGATTATGCAGCCATCAACGACGATTCATCACACATACAGCAAACACATTATTATTAACATAACAAAAATTAGTTCCTTTCATATTCTTTATCTAACTTATTAACTATAAGAGTAAGAACTTCAGCTTTAGTTGGAGCTATTGGAGTGTTAAACCAAGCATTAATTATAATAAATGGACTTACCTGAGTTCTGTTGAGTGGGCTTTTTCGAATAGTTTTATTTCGATGTATAGAGGTTCTGATAAGGTTTTATTTTTTTGAGAATAAACCGATTTTAGTCAATTTCTTATATCTTTGGGAATATTAAATTTGAATCACTTTCAATTTCTTTACCAAGTCAATGGATTCAGAATCACTTTCAATTTTGTTCAGTTTTATTTCAGTTTTTTTGACCAATTTTGTTCAGTTTT